TTGTGTGATCAGGAATCTATCACATCCAAAAGACCCCATGTAAGAAGAGAAAGGAGCTGGGCATTCATTGGTGGCTCACGCCTTTAATCCTAGATCCAGGAGGCAGAGGCAGGCGGATCTCTGTGAATTTGAGACCAACCTGGTCTACAGAGTGAGTTCCAGGACAGGCTCCAAAGCTATAGAGAAATCCTATCTTGAAAAACCAAAAAAAAAAAAAAAAAAAAAAAAAAAAAAATACAGCCCCCTGAAACTCCCATAAGCTTGCTCAGAAAGTGAGTTATCTCAGATCCCCATAGCAACACTCTCTTGGGCCAGTAAAGATGGCTCAACAGGTAAAGGTACTTGCCAAAATACTCTGACCACCTGGAACTCAAGTAAAGGTGAAAAGGGAAAACCAGACCCCATGAAGTTCTCTAGGGTCCCCACAGCAAATGTCTTTATAAGGTGAGCTGTTTCACCATCCCCAACATTCTTAAATCTGAGCCTGTTTATCTTTTTAAAAGATTCCAACTTTACCTTAAAAAAGAAAGAAAATAAGGCATGAGCTCCAATTCCAGTCAGTGAGGACAGATCTATGTGTGGACTCCAGGAAAGACTGTCCTGACACTTGTCCTGTGGACACTATCACTTTGGGATGAGGTTCCTGGACACTGCTTTCCAACCGTAAGAGCAGAAGAAAGCCAAAATAGTGAAGTAAGTAACAGCACAGGTGGGAAGAACTAGATGCTGCAGAATTCAAATCAGTCGTCAATTCAACCCACCTCTTTAACGCAGCTGACATTCTCTGCTACTGTTGATGATAAAGATGTACTAACTTATTCAGGTAATCACCCACAAAACACAGAAATACAATGCAAATCAAATATCGTGCTCTAAGTACTCTGGGGACTGACAAAGTGAGTTCATGCAATTCACATGAAAAATGTCAATTTATGTGAAAACTAGAGGAATGTCTATGAAAGTAGCATGTGTGAGATGTGTTACCACACATTTATACTTGATATAATTTAACAATGTTAACTCTTATAAGATTCATTCAATAAATAGAAAATTCTGAAGAAAATTGTTCTTGATAATTTCCTATATGAAATTAGTGGTCAACTAGTTTAAAAAGTGAAATACTAAAACTCTCTGGAAAGTTAGCACAGGAAGAGAAAGTGAACAGAAATGTGGAAAGGTGGGTGGCAGGTGGCCTGCCTGGCTTGTTTAAAACACCCTTCAGGGCACTGTGCCCCAGAATAATAGGCCCTTGCCTCACTTCCTGCAACTCAAATCCAAAAACAATACCTGGCACAAGACACCAATTTGGTATTTATTAAAAATTTATAAAAGTTGGGGCTGAACAGATGGTTAAACAGTTAAGAGCAAGTGATGCTCTTGCAGAGGTCCAGAGTTCAAACCCCAGCTCTAAGGGTTCCAAAGCCCTTTTCTGGCCGCCACAGGAACCTGCACTCATGAGCAGGTTCATGGATACAAGTTTTTTTTTCTTTTTATTTAAAAAACTTAATAAAAACCAACGAAATACACATTAAGTATCACGCACATCATAAAAATACCCTAAACTGGACACAAACTATACGACTCATTTATACTTAAAACCTTGGGACTACAAGGCCAGCTGGCCTAGTATGTGGCAGCAAACTATAAGAGACACTGTCTTGCACAAGGTGCAAGGTCTGAATAACACCTAAGGTGTCCTCTGACCTCCAAACACAACCATGGTAACCACACCCCCCCCCAAGGAAAAGCACAAACAAATGATAAGGCTCACTACACAAGACATCTATATCTTATATCCTGTCAATAAAGCTGATAAGGCTACAGAAGTTAAAGTGCTTGAAGAAAGGGCATACAGCCTTATCACAATAATAAAAGCTAATAGTTAATATCTTCTCAGTTGCAACTATGTATTAGTCACCACTTTAATGCTTTACATACATTCACTTGTTCAATCCCAAAGAGAATACTGCTCCTAATTTCCTACCAGAGATCAGGAAATTAACTAAATTGACCAAATCAGCTACAACTCCAGCACCATGCCTGCCTACCTGCTGCCATGATCCCCACCATGATGGTCATGAATTCTAATCCTCTGAAACCATAAGCTCCAAATAAACCCTTTCTTCTGTAACTTTCTTTGTCATAGTGTCTTATCACAGAACCAGCCCCATAAGTTGTCCACAGACCTTCACAGGGACACTGGGGCACACATAAATGACTGGGCATGTACACATCGCAAATAAATATCATAAAGTTATTTTAAAATAAAATTTAAAAGCAAACAAAAAGCAAGTTAACTCCAAAGAAAACAAATTAGGGCAATAGAATTATATAATTATGTTACATGGCTTAGCAAGTAATGTTATTTAAATATTTATATGTAGACACAACTAAAAATTGTAATCTTAACTCTTCCTGTAGAAGTCAATAGCTTCCAAAAATTAAAAGTAAGAAATAATCATTTTATGTTTTCAGGAAAGTACAAGAGCTTAGTAGGCACTGTTTGTAATCCCAAGGACATGTGCTCCATCCCAGAGTCCACATCTGAAAAGCCAGGTATTGGCACTCCTAAATGGAAAGGCAGAAAGAGGTGGATCTTATGGACGCTGGCCAGTCAGTGGAGCCTAATGGGCAAGCTCCAGGCCAAGGAGATCAACAAGGGGAATGCCACTCATGGCTGACTTCTGGCCTCCATTCACAAGTGCATGCACCTACACAGCACGTGTGTGTGTGTGTGTGTGTGTGTGTGTGTGTGTGTGTGTGTGTGTGTGTGTGTGTGTCAGGAAAAATGCCAGAAGGAATTGGCTCAGTTGAAAACAGATGTGGTGGGGTGTGGCAAGGAAATGTTATTTTAAAGTAAGTCTTATAATACATTTGACTTTTAATAGTATAATGGGAGCCATAGAAATTAAATTGGAAGAAAAATACATATTCATAATAAAAATAAAATATGTAGAAAACCACAAATGAAATATAAATTTACAAATCTCAAACAACCAGAGAAAATATGTTTATTTTTTAGAAAATACGTTTATTTTTTAAATCGTTCAGCTCTTCCAAACTACATATGTTACTTTGTAATTAAATTGTATGTTTTGCCAACAATGAGGCAGTGTTGCTCACTTTGAATTTGAGACAGGGTCTCTTATTGGTCTGGAGCTTATGGGACTAGGGTAGACTGGACAGCCAGTGAGCCTCAGAGATCCCCAACCCTACCTCCCCACTACTGTTATACCAGAAAGTAAATAGCTGTTCTTTCTTAGCAAACAGAATTATCTTTACTTTCTTCAAAATGCTCTCCAGAATTTTCTTTAGAAAAATTAGTAACTATTTTTGGAGCTGGAAAAAGCCTTATATTCTTAATAAAGGTATATAATAAAGAGTATATAATAAAGCATCATACTCTTAATCAAGGGGTTAAAAACGCAGATAATTTGGTGAAGTGCTTGCCTAGCCCTGAGTTTAATCCACAGCACAACAGAAACCAGTATGGTATAATCCTAGCACTCAGAAGGTGGAGACTGGACAATGAGAAGTAGGAAGTCATCCTTAGCTATATAGTAAGTCTGAGGCTAGCCTGGGATACATGAGACACTGGAATGAGTGAGTGTGAGAGAAACAAACAGAGATTAAATAAATCAAGGGCCACTGAAAATGGGTCACAGTAGTGAAGAGACTGAGGCAGAAGGAGTGAGTACCTTAAATTTGAAACCTATCTGAGAAAGAGAGCGAGAACAAAAAGGAAGAAGAGAGTGGGGAGGAAGAGAGAGAGACTTTTGAGCAGCAGAAACCAAGAGAGCCATTTTGAACATGTCTAATGTTGAATAACCATTACATAGTATAGGCAAATGTAAGACTACACCCATAAGTCCTGTCTTGGTGCCAGCCAGGTATCAACCTTGGAAGTATAATAGCTACATGTCACAGGACTACATGGCAATTTCCTAGGATGTGAGCCAGATGGAAAAGCAGGTGAAGGCACCTCTGAGGGCGGCCACCATCTGGAAACGGGATGAAGAAGGGGAAAGGTCAATGTGATGCCCCAGAAGCCAAGGGATATTGTTCCCTGTAGGAGGCAGTGATGCCATGAGGCAAAGCTACTGATGAGTAAGACAGTTGAGTGCTAGACTTGGTGACACTGTGGAGTTGTGAAGAAGAAAACCTGACTATGTTCAAGAGAGAATTAGAAGACATGAGGGACAGACAACTCTTTACAGGAACTTTGCTTTAGGGATGAAAAGTTGTTTGTAGTCTCCTAGCATCTTGCTACCTCTTGATACAGAATCAGTACCTAACAAGTTTCTCCATAAATGTAATATCTGCAAATTCCTAGTATTTCAAACTAAGTATGAAACTCAAACAAAACCCAGGTGTAAAGGCATACACCTTTAATTCTCAAGAGGCAGAGACAGGTGTTATTTCAGAATTAGAGGTCTACATAGCAAGTTATAGGCCAGCCAGGACTACATGAGAGAGAGAGAGAGAGAGAGAGAGAGAGAGAGAGAGAGAGAGAGAGAGAGAGACCCAAACACAAAACTTGAAAGCTCCCTCACCATCCACCCAATTATGCTCCCAGCCTTCATGAGTACAGATGGCCCACACGAACATTAACTTTCTTTTCTTCCTTAACCTGCTACTTATTTAGATTGATTTTCTTTCTCTCCCTAATCTAGGGATTGCTACCTGGCAGGCAAGTGCTCTCCCATTCAGCTCTATTTTAAGAAATGACTAAACAAACAGAAAAGACTTCTCTCTATATTTACCAATTTCCCAAAGATTACAAATGTAGCAGAAGTTAGCAGAGAAGTTATGAACCTGTTAACTAAGAGGCCTAGTCATTTAAACAAACATCCTACTTCAAGTGTCATTATGATAGCCACTTACTTCCCAGAATGGATAATTTTTCCCTCCCGAAACTCAGGCTCTTTCTATTAATGAACATTCAGCAACAGAAACCTCTGTGGAGAAAACCCAATACCTAGACAAGTCAATTTTCCTACCTGACATAATATCTTCTGCTAATTCCTTTTCTCTTTCAATTTTTTCCTCTAGAGTCGAAATGCAGAATTCATAGCCAGCAAGGGCAAATTCCTGTCTGGAAACAAGTATCAACAATCAATCAGCTGTGCTCACTTTTTCTCCAATTCCTCTTTACCCTCCTAATTATAGCTCTGCTCTAAGCATTATCAAAAGGGGAGGTTTGTGTCTCTGGGCTGTCAATCTGCATTTCTCCAAAGTTTGTTTGCTTTCAAGTCATTTATTTAAGGTAAATTAAAGGATGCTGCCAACATTTTCATTGCTGTATAACCACTAGTTTTTCATTATCTCCCACTATATAGAGTTTCAAGTCTGTCTGTCCACATGGCAAAGGCTCACCCCGAGGCTCGGACTTCTGGCCCTGAGCTTCCCAACTGCTGCCATCATGCACTTTTGGGAAACTTTAGGGGCTGAACTTTTCTCTCAAACTGTTTTGACTTAAAAAAAAAAAAAATAATTTTTTTTTATTCTATGGAAATCAAAATACTAGCTATATCATAGCAGGGCTTGATGTACAGACGTACATACAGTCCTGGGCCCCGAGACAAACTGAGGAGACACACAAGCACCCAGACTGATGCTGAATAGCATCTACAGAGCTGCAGAGGAACATGAAGAAATTCCTCCTTCAGCTCTTGATTCTTGCTCTTCCACACTGGGTCTACCTTCTTATCACAACTGACACTGAAAAGTGCATGCTTTCTCCTCTAGTGATGAGCCACTGTTCTACTTTATTCTCAGAATAAAGCATCTTCCTTCTCCAGTCCCAAACCTCGGTAAGAGATGCCTCCAGCCCACCGCAAGAGGGTATGCCACAAGATGCTGTCCAAGTAAAAAGTCTGCAGACAACTACCTATCTCAGCCTTTTACCTGAAATACCCAGGGCCTCACACATGCTAGGTAAGCACTCCAACACCCCAACACTTAGTCAGCCTCTATGAGCCCTCAGCCTGGCAAAGTGTTTTCTTACCTCATGTTTCCATTAATAAAACAAGGTGACAAAAGTAAAGTAACTTAAGAACTAAGCTCCGTGAGACTTATCAATCTGTCTTATTTTTCAGCATTCATCATTTATTTGCTTTGAGCTTGTATTTGTCAGAGAAGCAGAGACATCATTAACATCTAGTCCTGTAGGATACTACTGCAAAGAGGCACAGCTATAAGATTCTCTGGCACCAGCCAAACTAGAAGCTCAAGATTTAAGTCAAGAGCTGTGTTGTGTTTTATGTCTGTAATCTAGGCTAGCATACATTACAGAATAAGCCCCCATCTCAAACCCCACAAGGACTTAGAGTCAAAGTCCCAGTTCCAGCCTATCTAGTGCCCAGTCAACATGCAGAGAGGCTAAGCAGGCTGATGAAAATGGAGTTGTTGACTAGAACAGAGGCCAGGGTTGGGACCTCTACCCCAAAGAGCAACTTTCTTGAACTGCATCCAGCTTGGTGTGACATCCAATGTCTGGCATTAACTTCTGCAACAGCTAAAAATCTAAAGGAAACCAGCCTTACTTCTCTCCCCAAACCCACTCACAAAATAGAACTCTCTATAGATATTCCTGATTTACATACTATGTGTTCCCCTTTCGAAGTCTACCTAGAGACAAAGGAATGAAAGGTTGTGCCAGGTAACGTTTTGTCATCTAGAACCAGGGTTGTTAAGTTACTTTTGGGCATGGTGTTTTACTACAGCAAAGGCAGCCCTGACTAAAACTGAAATTTGTACCAGGACCACAGGGTATGTCTGACAGATCAAGTTGTTTTAGGGGCAAGTGGAAGGACACTGAAACCTTAGCCTGGGAAAGCTCAGAACTTAACAGGCTGGGGTGGGGTGGGGGGCAAGGGAGGAAGAAAGGGATGCTATAGATAGGCAGACAAATGAGGTCTGATTTTCCCAGGGAAATGATGACTGTCAGAGCTGTTTGTGTGCTATCTTGTACTAAGAATCTGTGGTTTCTCATCAGCTGAAGCTGAAAAATCAGCTGTGATTAACAAGAGACCAACACCAATCACAGTGAAGTCTCTGCTTTGCTGGAGTAGTCAATGCTGCTTAGCAGCCAAAGCTGAGAAATTAGTGGTGATTTTACTACCAGCATCACTGGGTAGGTGGGTAATAGCCGAGGCTTTGGCCCTGTGTGCAAGGGTGGGGTCCCTGCACAATGGTGAAAGTGCAGCCTCAGTTGCAGCAGAGGCCACAGAACATTGAGATTAATATCACAGGACAACTGCCAAGGACAAAACAGCTATGGAGTGGAGCTGACCCAAGCCTAAAAGCTATGCATGAAGGGGAGAAAGAGCTAGAGCTGCCTGGCCCTTTGGAGACCAGAAGACCTTCAGTCTCAGACATAACAGCTATTTATACCCATGAGAAGAATTGGGTTTTGCTTTGATTTGATCATAACCATGCCCTGGTTCTTCCCTCTTAGAATAGAATGTATGTAACTTACTTTGGTTTTAACAGAAACCCACAGTTGGATATTTTAAAGAGGCTGAATTCTAAAGCGTTTGAAAAAAAAATTTTTTTAAGGCTGTGCAACTTTTAAAGTTACATTATGTTTTAGGCCATGAATGGTGATATACAGCTTTAATTCCAGCACCCAGAAAGCAGAGATAGGTGGATCTCTGATTTGGAAGCCAGCTTGGTCTACATAGTGAATATCAGAACAGGTAGGGCTGACCCTGTCTCAAAACACACTACGTTTTATTTTGTGGTAGTAATATTAACATGACATCTTGGGGACAAGATCGGAAAGTAAGGTTATATGTGAACATTGATGTGTTTCTGTGTCAAGGTGACAAGGGGTCAATCATGCTATCTAGTTTTTTGTCAACATGACACAATCTAGAGTTAAAGAGGGACTCTTGACTGAGGAAATGCCCCATTAGATTATCCTATAAGCAAACCTGAGGGGGGTACAGTTTCTTGATTGATGATTGACATGGAAAGGCCAGTCCACTGTATTAACAGTATTAACCCAGGCAGATAAGAAAGCAAACAGAGCAAGCCAAGAAAAGCAAGCCAGTAGGCATCAATTCTCTGAGGCTTATGCTTTAGTTCCTGCCTCAACTATTGCATCCCTCAATAGTCTATTTTATCACAGGAAAAGAAACCCAAGACAATGGTTCTTAATGCCTCATGTGTTTCTAGCTTTTGGTAACACCTAAACTGTTTCCTAAAGCCTTCCACACAGCCAATGGGCTTTTTATTCTTTATAAGAATTTAGGGTCATTTGTGGTGATACATAGCTTTAATCTCAGCTCTCAGGAAGCAGATACAAGTGTGAGTTAGAGGTCAGCCTGATCTGCATATTGAATTCCGGATAGCCAAAGGCAACCTAGAGATGCCCTGTCTCTAAAATTAATAATAATAATAATAATAATAATAATAATAATAATAATAATAAAATAAAGTCAAGCTTATCTACTATTTTTAAACCTAATTCCTAACTTCCATATTCAGACTTCCCTCTGCTACTGGCTATATCCCCCTCCAAAATCCTACTGATTATTTCCATATGCTCTGAAGACATTTAAACAAAACATCTAATTCCACTTATAGCCACTTGTGTTGGATAGGTTTATGTCAACTAGACACAAGCTAGAGTTATCTGAGAGGAGGGAACTCAACTAAAAACAATGCTTCCATTGTTGTAGACAAACATGTAGGGCATTTTCTTAGTGACTGGTGTGGAAGGTGCCACCCTGGACTGGTAGTCTTGGGTGTTATAAGAAATAAGGCTGAAGTTTGGCTTTGGTGGTGCACGCCTTTAGTCCCAGCACTCAGGAGGTAGAGGCAGGCAGATCTCTGAGTTCAAGGCCAGCCAGGTCTACAGAGCTAGTTCCAGGACAGGCTCCAAAGCAATACAGAGAAACCTTGTCTCAAAAAACCAAAACCAAAAATAAATAAGTAATAAAAAAGGAAGAAATCAGGCTGAGCAAAGCAGTAAGCAGCACCCTTCCATGGCCTCTGCATTAGCTCCTGCCTCCAGGTTCCTGTCCATTTTGAGATCCTGCCTTGGCTTCCCTCTGAATATAAACAACAAACAAACCCTTTCCTCCCCAAGTTGCTTTTGGTCACAATGTTTTAACATAACAAAAGAAACCCTAATTATGACACCACTTATTTTCCAGAATGGACAGTAAGCTGAGCCCAAGAAAACCCAAAAGTTAATTTTCACCATTTAACTTCATACCTAACCTGCTCTTTTGCTGGTAGCAGTACAGTAGATTCTTTAATTGCTGTGTTACTTTTTACATTGTTCCCTTTGCGTCTAAGAAAAGCTAGCTATAGGTCTAACTCTGTTTCCCTTCTCATTTCAAGCAAGAATTGAACACTTGATTAGCTATCACAGTACAGTTACAGGGGTGAGGGCTGTGTTCCACTCAGGTAGACAGAAACAAAAGGAAGGAAACTGGAAAGGCCTCAAAATTACAAAGATGAGAAATGCAACACTTTGAGTGAGACACTCAAATTTTTGGAGACCCAGATGATTGACAGGAAAATAAAACTATATAAAACCCCAAGGTCTGAGTGTTTTGATCATCACTCTACTAGCTAACCATTGCCACATCTATATTCTGATCATACTTACTTATCCTGAGCAGCATAGATACTGGCCAGCTTCAGAGAGATTTCAATTATTGCATTGTCCTCCTGTTGGGGCCAAAAAAAAAAAAAAAGAGAGAGAGAGAGAGAGAAATTCCTTATGGAGTATTTCCAGCTTAACTAGTAAATTTGGCCTCAAAGCCAGTCTTTCTTCCTTTAAAGGAATTAACCAACTGTGAGTTCTTTGGCAAACGTTACTTGGAATCAGTGAAATACTAGCCATTTTTTTAAAGGTCTAGGGGTCAAATAACCACTTTTTTTTTTTTGTCAAAGTACCTATGTTCTAAGCCTGAGGCTACAGGGCATATCCTGGTTGGTACTAGAGGCAAAGTACAGTTATCTGGAAAGAGGCACCTCAACTGAGAAAAATGCTTCCATCAGACTATCTGTAGGCATGTCTGTTGGGCATTTTCTTGATTCGTGACTGATGTGGCAGGGTCCAGTCCACTGTGGGTGGTGTTACCCCTAGGCAGGTGGGTTTGGGAGTATAAGAAAGCAAGCTAGGTGAACCACAGGAAGCAAGCCAGTAAGCAGCAGTTCTCCGTGTCCTCTGCTCCAGTTGCCGTGTCTAGATGCCTGCCTAGAGTTCCTGCCCTGACTTCCCTCAGTGACGAATTGTTACCAGAAAGTTTAAGATGAAATGGACCCTTTCTTTCCCAAGTTACTTTTGGTCATGGTGTTTTATTACAGCAACAGAAACCCCAACTAAATCATGGAGTTTTCAGTTTGTTAACTGCTTTCATAAGGAGGCAAAATTAGACAGTGTCTTACCTGCTTCATGCCTCCTCCAAGAAGGTAACTCATTGTTGCTTTAAAAAGTTGTTCTGCCTAAAAGCATAAAGATTTTTCAAAACCATCTATATATGTCCCTTGATTCTAAATACCAATGTAATACGTGCATACATACATACACACACACACACACACACACACACACACACACACACACACACAGAGAGAGAGAGAGAGAGAGAGAGAGAGAGAGAGAGAGAGAGAGAGAGAGAGGTGGGGGGGGGGGGGGGACACGGACAGACAGTGAGACTCTTTTAAAGGGACCAAAGATCAGGAGGATCTTACATCTTTTTGGTACCTTAAAGTACTCTAGGACGAGTAGAAACTAAGTTGAAGAGATTAATCATCTGAACCAATGTGATAGATTGTAAATTGTCCCATAATAGTCACCCTATCAATTAAGTTTTTAAAATATCCTCAGTTTTTAAATCAGCCTTCTTTACAGTTAGGTGTGATCCTACCATGAAGCTAAGTTCTGACTAACAGTAACAGGCAGAGAGAATGCTAACACCTTTAAGACATTTCATAAGGATGTTGCATGCACCAAATTCTCCCCTTTTCCCTTCCCACAAGCTGGAGATGAGTCAGCTCACTCATGCAGATGAAGACATACAAACCTTAAGATGGATCTAAGATTTCTGAACTACATAACAGAAATGCCTAATCTGCTTTTAGTCTTTGGCCTACTTGTGGACTAATTGATTAAAAAGAAATACACCTGTACCTTGAGTCATTGTATTTTGGGGATTTTTTTTGAGGAATAACATATACCCTTACTGTTACAGTTCCCTTAAGGAGTTACCAATTCAAGATATTACAAAGTGATTGACTTACATTTTCAAGCTGCCCTCGTATAAATGCTAAGTTGGCCATCTGAAAGCAAATTATAAATAATTGTTCAGAGTACTCCCTTTACACAGATTTTAAAAATCTTTAAGTGAAAGATTCTCCTGTTTTCACAATCTTAAAAAAAATAGTTCAAAACAGAGAAAGCAGCATCAGTTAATGTGCTAGAAGTTCAGTACAGCAATGATGAGAGACACACAGATTTTATTCTATACATTCTCTACTGAAAGCAAACTAAGTCTAGATCTACTCATCACTGAAGAGAAAAACACTTAAGATATTTGCTTCTTTCTAGTCCAAAATCATTAAGTAAACCCGTAGAGGATACAAAAAATTAAAACCAAAATAAAACATAGAAAACAAAAACCTTCGGGACATCTTGAGAGCCCAGAGGATAAAACTAGGAGGTGCACTTTCTCAGTATCTACCCTTCATCATCAATAGCTCAAACTGGTCAGAGGAGTTACCAAGTCATAAGTGTAAGAGATGGCTTTCTTGTTGTCACTTTGAAACGCTAGGCGAAGAGCATCATGTAAAATTAGCTCCGCCGCTTCTGGCTCATCTTTCATGATGCTCAACTAAAAAGAGAAGGCAGAGAAAATATTAAATGAAATGTAAGGAAAGCAGATGTGCACATTGCTACAGAGTAGATACATCACAATACATGCAAAGAAGTTATCCATTCACGTATTTATTGAATCCTCAAGGTGCCCAGGTACCATGCTGGTGGAGATGACAGGGAGATCAGCCTCTTTGCACCTAGGTGTGTTCATACACCAAAGTTTTGACTAACAGACCCGACAGAAGGAATGCGGACAACCTTTTCTTTTTTTTTTTCCCTCCTGAGGCAGAGACCAGGCTGACTTTAAACCCCTAGAGATCTGCCTGCCTCTGCCTCCTGGGTACAGAGGTTAAAGGTATGCGCCACCTCACCTGGCACTGCATTTACTTTATAAGGAAGCTGCTTGCCTCTCACCTTCTTTTCCTCTTCCCATAGATTATAAGGGAGTGTGTAGGACAAGTAGGTGTAATTGAAACTTGTGAGAAGAGCAGTGAAGAAAAACAACTCAAAGGAATCTCATCTAATGGGAATCAGGGAAGCGTTCAAGAAAATGAGAGTGAAAATCAGGTAAGGAGGATAAGGAGTCAACCAAATAACAAAGTGGACAGAAGAATGACCCCGACGGAGATAATGAAAAGAACGGTTCCTCAGAAGAAATGCATGGAAGCACCGGTAGCGAGGACAGTGAGTCACAGAGTTACTGCCACAGGAGGATGAGAGAGCTGGCTTAGGTCACCTTCAGTCCTGCAGCCCATGACCGGTTTGGGTTTTCTCACAGATACAATGAGAAGTCACTCAATTATCAGACAAGAAGGCACTATGTTCTGGTTTACATTCTCAAAACATCACAAAGCATTGCTGCACGGAGACAGAACTACAGTGGGTTAAGAGGACCACAGGACCACTGTGAGAAAAACTGGAGAAATGAGGCAGGGGTTCGGGAACACTTGTTCTGATTCTGCTATTGCTGTGTAAGTGGGAGTTACCTACAGCGCACTTTAAGAATCACTGACTTTTCAGGTAGTAAAGAGAGGGCTGTTTAAGAACGTATTTGGGGGGAGGCATTTAAGAATAAGGGCTTAATTCAGCGCATGGCATGCTATGGTACACGCTAAGTCTGGGGGGGGGTAGCTGGGACAACACAATACAGTATGCAAAAGGCACACTGCAGTCTGAACACAAATTTGGACAAATTAAGCCGATATTGAAACCCATTGGAAGAGATGAAATAACATAAAAGAATGTGGGGAAAGAGATTTAGACGCGAACCAAGAGACAGAAACAACACTAAACTGCTTATTTTCGGGGCGTCATACATATACTATGCACAAAATGTCATTTCAGCTTGTCTGGTTAGCTGATTAAAAAACCACCCCCGCAAAACATCCTCAAGCAGTTATGTTTGGACAAAAGAGAAATGTGAGGGTGTCATCTCCACCTGCACTCAAGACTGCAGCGGTTTTGCGGCAGGATTCATCAGGCACCCGTCTGGACCGATCCCAACCTCCCACCTGGGGCCAATCCATCCAGGCCTCGGGAAAGCGGAGCTGAGAGCGCGCACGCCCGACCGAGCCCCTTACCTTAGCTCGCTTCAACAGCTGGATGATCTCAGCCTCCGCCTCGTCTGCCGCGTCCTCTCCCGGATGCTCCCCCGCCGCTGCGGGCCGCGAGAACCAGGCGAGCGCTGCGAGAGGCGGCAAGCGGCTCAGAGGTCACCGGGACCGGCCCCCGCCCGGCCCCGCCCGGGAGCGCCCCGCTCACCTGCCAACAGCGGCAGCAGTCGCTGCCCCCGCGCCGACGTGCCTCGGCTCGGCCGCCCCTCGGCGCCCGGCCCCGTGTCGCCAGTCCGCTCCGGCAGCAGGCGCGCGGCGCAGCCTCCGCACCGCCGGCCCGCGGCCCGCAGCAGGGTTCGGCCCAGACGCCAGCGCAGCAGCCGGAACATGCCCACGACGCGTCCTCAGCTCTCCGGGCCCGGGACGCCCCGCCTGTCCGCATGCGCGGTGACGTGCGCTGACGTCACGCCGCCTCGCCCCGCCTCTGGCCTGGAGCGCGTGCGGAGTTCGCAGCGCCCCGGAGGAGAACGCCCGCGGCGAGCCATGGCGGTCGCGCTGCCGGAGGTCGTGGAGGAGCTCCTGAGCGAGATGGCCGCCGCTGTGCGGGACGGCGAGAGAAGTACGGCCCGCAGGCTTTTTATTCTACCCCGCATGGTTCCGTCTCTAAAGTCTTTGCGCGTTAAGTTGTTTAACTAAACCCAGGAATTTGAGCGAGTCGACGTCAGATCCCGGAGTGCGAGCTAGCCAGTGGGGATCCCGGGTGCTCGAAGAGAGCCGCTTGGTTACACCCTTAGGGATAGGCAAAGGCGAGGAGTTCGGAATGGCGGGAGCCTGAACAATTTTAAGTTACTCAGAATCTTTTTCCACAATCCGTGATGCAAAGTCTAAAACTAATACTCTCCTTTACTTCGTTTAGTAAAAGATTCTAGGGTCACAAAGCCTAAACATCGGGCAGTTGAAAATTACTTTTCCCTCTGGCCAGCAGAGGGCGCCCTATGCCTGTCTTCAACGAAATGGCCAGAGATGATTTTTGCATACCAGTCGGTGTAAGGAGGATCTACTCTGTAGCTCAGCTGGAGACTGTTTGAACTGAGCTGTGACTGATCCCCTCCACCGCATAAGACCAGGCACAAGGCTGAAATCTCCGCACTTGGGAAATTGAGACAAGAGAATCAGAAGTTCAAGGTCAGCCTCAGCTACATAATGCTAGGCCAGATGGGCTACTGGAGACTGTCCCAAAATGGGGGTAAAGTGAGGGCAGGGTGGAATCTTTTCGGTGGATTACCGAAAGTGGCCCCTCTAAATAATAGTCAAATTAGAGCTCAAAACCGCTATTGTCCATCGTGCTTCGTGAAAGGGTTTTGAGTTACTGCTTTTATAGAGGGATGAGAAAAATAAACCGATGTATGAAAGATTCGGCCAACCAGGTATTCAAACACATTTTGACTCTAGAAAGTATCTGGGGGTACCAGTCTGATTTGCTTCCTGAGTGCTTTCCACTTATTTATTCACTTACATGGTGTTTCCTGTCTTGAAGTGCATACTTCAGTAAGTTCCTGAAGGAGGCTTCAACTGTATCTTTGAGGCTTTGAATGTCTGGAAAAGGTTTTTCTACTCTCACACTTCACTGAAAGGTATTAAATTACATGTTGGAAGTGACATCTCTTCAGACATCTGAAAGCATTATTCCATAATTTGCATCTAGCCTTGTTCCTGAATTTTGTCCTTGGCCTTTATTTTCTCTGGGTTATTTGAATTATGGTTGTTTCTAGATATCCATGAGGTCTGGTGAATATTACTGATGTACAAGTTCCTTCTGTAAGATCATATATAACCTATACTCACCATTCTCTGTACTTTAATGTGTTTAAATCAACTCTAGATTTCTCACCCCCGCAGTGTCAGTGAGAGCTTTGTGGGTAGATGTTATCCTGTGTTGCTTAGGAGAGAATGACATCTTTAATAGAGGCTCGGGGTTGGGAGTGTCGGTAGTGCTGGTTTCTGTTTGGTTGTATTTGGTCTCTTTGTAGCTCAGGCTTTGTAGCTCAGGCCCACAGCATTTATGCCTAGGCCTTCTGAGTTTCAGTTACTGGTATATATCTAGTTTTTCAATTTCCTTTTTTTTTTTTTTTTTTTTTTTTTTAACTTTCTGTGTATGGGTGTTTGGCCTGAATGTGTGCATCTGTGTATTGTGTGAATGCAGTGCCCTCAGAGGCCAGAAGATGGCATCAGATCCCCTTGGACTGGATTATGAGGGAGCTGGGGTGCAAACCCTGCCGAGCCATCACTCCAGTTCCTCAGGTTAGTCCACAGATGTTGTGCCTGTATGTGGAGTGCTGGTAATGTCTCGTGACCCTGATTCTCAATCTTCTGATAAGATTTTTGTTAGCCAGTGTGTGTGTGTGTGTGTCTGTGTGTGTGTCCATGTGCCTATGTACACATGTGAGGGGGCCCCAGAGGCCCCAGGAGTGGGTGTTGGCTCTGTAGAGCCAGCCAGTATGGTGCTGGGAACTAAATTCCAGCCATCTTCTGAGCAGCAAGCTCCCTTAACAGATGAGCCACCTCTCCAGCCCCTGGTTTTGTTTTCTACTCCACCATGTGTGCACTCTTAACATACTTGGTAGATGTTTGTCTTTTTCTTTCTAGTATTCCTGTCACTTGGTTATGGAATGTCTTTTATTGTCCCTCTGCTTCTTGGGAACTTCCTTCAACTATATCTTCCAGATTTTCTATGGAGTTTTTATTTCTGATGTTATATTTAATTTACACTTTTCCACTGAAAATAAGTGTTCCTCATGCCTGTTTTATTACTGCATTAGCTTGTTTGTTCTGATATTAGTAATAGGTGTTGGGACTTTCCTTCTGACCAGTGTTCCCTTTCCTTAGATTTCTTTCATTGTCATTGTTTTCTTTTTACTTTGTTGTGGTAATTCTTACTTGTCATGTTTAAGAGAAAATTCAAGCAAGGCCCTTACAGATGATGAATATCACTTTCCTGTGAGTCTCCTGCCAAGAAGGTGATGCCTGGGAGAGTAGCTCAGTGGGAGAGGGAAGAAGAGGAGGGCTGATTGCTCATCTTACAAGAGCCCTGTTGGGAACAAAGCAGCAAGTCCCCATTTTGGGGTTTTTTCCCTAGTCCAGAAATCCTCTACTAAGCCTTTCTCAAAAATCAGTGGTCATCTGCCAGAGTGAGGGAGCGGCAGCCACCCACAGATAAAAAAGGAACTGGGACTAATCTTCCTTTTTATGATAATGATGATTAATTATTATTTTGAGGCACAGTCTATCTAGTCCTAGCTGTCCTGGAACTCAATATGTAGACCAGGCTGGCCTTGAACTCACGGGCATATGCTTGTCTCTGCTCTGAGATTAAAGGTGTGCACCATTATGCCATTATGCCCAAAGGGACTGATCCTTCTTAGACCAATCTCAGAGAATCTTATTTTAGAGTTCCTGCCTGATCCCATCTCCAGAGATATCTAGTGTCATGAGTTCTGAGGTTTCCTTCCTTTGAGGGGGCGTGTGGAGGAGGGTAGTAGGTTCTGGAATATGAGTCAGACTTGTGCTTGGCTCTTCTACCGCTAGCTTCAGATTCAGATTGCTAGAGTCTGGGAAGTTATATTTCACTTTGGTATCAGTTTCCATTATATTTTAGCTGTTATTTTCCCCTGCCTTTCTTATCCTTTGGAACTAATGATTTTTGTAAAATAAATAAATCCTTTTATTATTGTTCCAGTGGGGTTTGGGAAAGAGTAGAATTGGATACAAGGTTCTGTTTACATTTTATGTGGTGATTTGGTTATAGTGGTTTTAAGAGCTCCATGTTGGTATTCAGGAGTCTAACATGATTAACTTTCTCTTTTTACAGTTCCTGATGAACATCTCTCATCGTAAGTACATACTCTTTTTTTGTTTGTTTGTTTGTTTTTTGTTTGTTTTTTTTAAAGAGTTATCTCATTTTAAGAGCCAAATCCTTTCAGTGTATCTCTTGGTTTTTGAAAGTTAAGAAGAGGGCTGGAGACATGCCTTGCTGCTATTCCAGAGGACCTGAGTTCCAGTCAGAAGGTGCGCAACTACCTATAACCCCAGCTCTGGGAGACCCACTATCTTCTTCTGGGCTCTGTGGGCACCGCAAACACATGGTGCACAGACTTACATGTAGACAAAACTTTTCTAATATTAAAATAATACACAGACATTTCTAACATTAAAATAATACAAAGTAGACATGGTGGCACACTTGCAATCACAGCACTTGGAAGATAGAATACATAAGCACCAGGAGTTCAAGATCCTCCTCAGCTATTCTGGAAATTTGAAGTCAGCCTGACCTATGCAAGACCTTGTCTCAAAACAAAAGCAAAACGAACAAAACTAAGAATCTGGAGAACTGACTCGGTGGTTAAGAGCATTTGGTTCTGTTCCCAGCACACATGTTAGGAGGTTCACAAAAGCCTCATATCCCCTTCTTACCTCCATGAGCACCTGTACATACAGTGCACACGCATGTGCGCGCGTGCGTGCATACACACACACACACACATGCTCAGACGTGCACTTATGCATAAAATAAAGCAATTAAGTCTTTTAAAAGTAAATGAATAAGTAGAAAATAGGCAAGTCGTAGAAGAGTGCAAATAGCCAAAAACTTTTGGGGGAAATGATATTAGTAAAATCACAAAGTGCAAAATAATTTTTTCTGTAAAACTAGCAACCACAGGAAAAATGTTGACAAAATAAGGAGAAAATTATAATACCTTGCTGGTAGAAGGTAACCTTGTGTCTTAGTTGCTTTTCTACTGTTGTGGCAAACCATCATGACCAAGGTAACTTACAAGAGAAAGCATTTAACTGGGGGCTTACTTATAGTTTCAGAGAGTGAGTCCATGACTGTCAGGGTAGGGAGCATGGCAGCAGGCAAGGAGACATGTGTGATGCTAGAGAAGTAGCTGAGAGCTCGCATCTGATCCTCAAGCATAAGTCAGGGAGAGAGAAAGAGCTAATTGGGAATGGCACTGGGAAACCTCAGAGTATGCCCCCAGTGGCACACCACCTCCAACAAGGCCACACTTCCTACTCCTTCCCAAACAGCCATTCAAATATGTGAGCCTATGGGGGCCATTCTCAATTCAAACCACCACACCTGGCAACTGGCAATACAGCTTTAAGCCATACATATTCTTTGACCTGGATATTCCACTTAAAAGAATGTCTTCCAAGAAAGTGACTGTGCTGTTCACTTTACAATGAGCAGATTCACCCAGTGCAGAATATGACAACAGAACAACCTGGAAATCATCTACTCAAAAACTGTTTGAGAGAGAATAAACATGATTCATTTTTTATAGCCATCAAAAGTAGTAAAAGAAATGTTTATGGTGTTTGAGAGGTGTTTACATAAGTCTTAAAGCAGACGAAGCCATTTTAAGGTAACTGAAGTTAACTATGGTTATCTCTGATTAAGAGGCTTTTTAGCAAGTTCATTTCCTTATTTTTGTTGACTAAATAAACCATCGTGTATTTGGAATAAGAAATTCTAAAGTGCCCTTCTCAATTCTTCCTAGTGGTGCTGTGTGTGAGACTAGTTTATGGGGAAATGAAGCAACACACCTGTTAAATTTTAAACTTGATAAGTGGTGCTGTGGGTGCATAGGTACATATATACATGTATGTAAACACAGTCATTCCATGAATAATAACATACAGAAATATTAATAGGAGAGAAACCAGCAATTAGCATGAGATCTGCTGCAGATGTAGTCCAGAGGTAGAGTATTTTCTGAGCATGTCTGAGGCCCTGAGTCCAGTCTCTAGTGCCAGAGGGGTGAGAACAGAAGGAGGCTCAGACAGAGGAAGGAAGAGAATAAGTAGTGCTTGCCAACGGGTGAAAAGGAAGAAATAGAAGAAATATGTGGCAGCTCTATAAAGTAGTAGAGAGAGCTTTTTAATCTATAATAGTGTACTCTTATTTTAAAACACAAAAGAATCTGAAGTAAATGAACAAGATGTTAACATTCTAGGGAACAAAAGAATCGATGGATTTGGTTTCTTTGGTTGTTTTGACTTTTTTATTTTGCATGTATGGGTGTTTTGTTTACATATCTGTCTGTACATTACATGCATGCAATGCCCATGGAGGCTAGAGACAGGCATTGGGTCTCTTCCAGATGTGGGTCCTCTGGAAGAGCAACCAGTTCTGTAACTGCTGAGCCATCTCTCTAACCCAAGTCTATGGGGTTTGTTACTATTTTTTTGCAAATTAAAATTAGGTTTTTTTTAAGTCTGTGGACTGGGCAGGGGAAGCAGCTCAGTTGGTAAATTGCTTGTCTTGCAAGCATGGATGCCTAATTCAATCCCAGCACCACTTAAAAGCCAGGTGTGACGAGTGTGCTTGTAATCACAGTGCTAACCTCCTGGCAAGTTGCAAGCTGGTTAACAATCATCCCTGAAAGAAGTGGATGGCACTTGAGGAACAGCACACACAATGAAGGTGCAGAGACTGAGGCGGTATACTAGTGGTGCAGTACTTGCCTACAGTGTATGAGGCCTGGGGTTCAGTTTTCAGCACCACCACCACCAAAAAAGGACAGTGACCCTTTGTGTCGGGTTCCTGAGGTAACTCAGAATCAGCCCTTCTAATGCAGTGTCTTTGTATTCCCTAGGCTGAAGTTCGTGTTTGGCCCGTCAGCCATCCAGGCCTTGGATTTAGTTGACCGAGAGTCTGTCACTTTAATCTCATCACCCAGTGGAAGGCGTGTTTACCAGGTAGAAGTCTAGAAGTGGGGATATCAAAACAGAGACCCTTAGGACATAAATCTATTCACAGTCTCTGAAGTATAGACATCCTGGACCACTAAAAGGCCTTGTCCCAACTTAGTAAAGTTAGCACAATCATAATTTAAGATTTGTATTTATTTTAAATTGACAAAACTATGTATTTATGACATACAAAATGATGTCTTGATAAATGATAACCCTCTGAGATAACTTCATGCTATTGATATATCCAACTATCTCAAACAGTTCTTTTGTGATGAGAACACTTAAAAGCCCCTTCTCTTAGAAATTTTAAAGGCTGCAAAACATTGTTAGTATAGCCAGTAAATCTTCTAAGCTTTGTCTCCTTCTTTAACTATTTCCCTAACCCCTAAAATGCTGGGTAGCCACCATTCTGCTTTGGCTTCTATAAGCTGGACTAGTTTCGATTCCACATACATGATCATGCAGTATTTGGTCCTTCTATACCAGGCTTGTTGCACCTAACATAGTATCTCCAGGCATTTTAGAAATTAAAGATAAATATGACTTGATTCTACTCAGTAGCACTGTATAGAACTAACCATGGTATGGACAGGCTCTTTTCTCAAGTCTAACAGAGTATACCAGCCTTTATTCTCTTGTTGATAATGGGGGTACACACACGCACACACACACTTACTGATATTTTCATCTTGTTCATAATCTCATTTATAGGAAAAAGCCAAAATGCTCCTTGAGGTTATTCCATATGTACAGAATAATCTTGTCAGCATTGATCTTTCAAAACTGTTGTCAGAAGTATTAAAAGTGAGTCAGACTCCTGAGTTCAGGAAGTCTGTATGGACCTTAGTTTGCCCCATGGGGCTTACATTTGATTTGTGATGAGACAACCTCTTTCCATGCTCTTATTACTTTCAAGCTATTGATAATTCTCAACAGAAGCAAAGAAAAGTATTTCTTTTGCAAGAAACTGAAATGCAGAGGGTAAAGTAATAGTCAATCTCATGCTGCCTGACTCACAACATGAGACTAGAAAAACAGCTATATAAACAGTAGGCTAGCATAACCACCTGCTCCCTAGGCCAGCTCCATGAGACAGTGGTAAATGTGCCTATGGTTGAGGGAGGGGCATCTTATGCAGAACACAGAAATGCTGGCAGTGGTGAGCCAAGTTTATGTTTGGTTCAGGTTAGGAAAGACCATCATGGGTAGGGACACTTTTTTCATTGTTTGGATTCTATCTTCTAGTGAACGTCTCAGAGATGAGACCAAGCCAGCAACTCTTATTAAAAGAAAGTGCCAGTTTTCTTAGAGGATGACTTGAAGAAAGCCTACTTTGACAAATGTGTGTGCCTACCTACTTATGGATCAACTTGCCATTCTGTATTGTAGTTGACCTTAGTCCACCTGGCAGATCATCATGTGTTTTTTCATTAAGGAAATGGAGTGATGGATATATTTACAATTTTTGGATAGTACTTTTCTACTCAAAGGGGGAGTTTTCTCATGGTGGATTTATAGGTGAATAACCCATTGGAACCACTGAGTTTGTTTCTTATGTGTTATCTTTTTTGTATTTTGTATACTTAAAATATCCAAAACTTAGAGCACCCTTCCAGTCTTCCCTATGTTTTTTCATCATAGAATTTTCCAGGACTAGAAAGATGGCTCAACTGTCCTTTAGCAGCAGATCCAGATACATTTCCTCTTACACACATGGCTGCCTGTAACTCTAGTCCTGGGGTCTGGTGCTCTCTTCTGGCCTGTGTGCACACCAGACATGTACATGGTACACAACACATAGGCAAGCAAAACTCCTACATATATAATAAAAATAATATAAATCTTTCTTTCTTTTTTTTTTTTTTTTTTTTTTTTTTTTGAGATAGGCTTTCTCTGTGTAGCCCTGGCTGTCTTGGGACTCACTCTATATACCAAGCTGGCCATGAACTCAGAGATCCACCTTCCTCTAACTATCAAATACTGGAATTAAAGATATGCACCATCACCATCTGGCCTTATAATTTTTCTTTTAATGTCAAGTTAAAAAACATTTTTGGTCTCTGCTCCATTATCAGCATAACACTTGACTAGAACAGGCTGACTTCTAGCTGTCCCTTAATTATATGATTGGCTACTAGCTAAAATTTTAAAGATTTTGTTTAAAACAATTTAAATACCCAATCGTTGTCCATCATATCCTTTATTATATTATGTTGCTTTGTCATAAAAATATACTCCATAGATATATAGCTGCCAGCTTCAACTTTGACTTGAGTTGAGTAAGACTAGAACCCTCAGACATTCTCACAGCAATCTTATGTTGTGTTGTTCAGTCCTACGCCAAGACTCTGGCTTAACTCCTGGGCTGTATAAGATGATAGAAGTTGAAGCAACTACTCACATTCAATGTGCTAACACAGCTCACACAGCCAGTCTGTATCAGGGCAGGAATGGTAAACCCTTTGTCTAGAAAGAGGCAGTAAACACAGGAAACGATAGATGCAGCATCCCAACATGAGGTGGTTATAAAGCTATATCTGTGAATGGATGATGATGGGGTCATTCTCCAATACAAGCTACCCAGTCACTACAGACTTCCTGCCAGTGAGACGCCTGAGAGTCCAGTCCTGGTCTTGAGTGTGTTCTTCATGTTTGTTTCTTTTTTAAAACCTCAGTTGGTGGGGGGGATGAGTGGGGTCACATTCCAGCCTATGCTATGAGTGGAAGAACTTGGAGCAGTTCCTGTAAGAGAGGGTCCTTCTTCCACTGAAGAGTGAAGACACTGAATTCAATTATCCCTAAGGTCAATTTCCAGTTCTAAACATTTCTAACTCAAGATTTTTGCCTGATTATTGGGTTCATTAGTTGCCAACTGCTAGATAAGGAAGAAGCAAATTAAAGCACTTATTGTCTTTAGAGTATCTACTGCCCCAGGGACTTGACCAGTTTACTTTGAATCTCAGATAGCCTTTGAAAGGATAAGGCAAAGGGACCTCTGTAGAACTTACTCCTGTCCCTAAATCACCATGCTTTGATTCAACATAATTCTGGAAGCGTTGTGATAGATCCAGGACCTGCAGAGTTCTAGAGGCTTCACCTGTGTAAGTCTATATCCAGAGAGAAAAGACAGGAGCCAAGTAAAGAAAGAGCATTAAAGGTGTATTCTTTGATAGTCTTCAGAGCCAGTTGAATGCTAGTGAGTTTTCTTTAGGATTAAGTGGGAAGCAATCAGCTTTAATATCTATTCAGTCTTATTGCTATTCAGTGCTGTGGGTGTCATGTTCATAACACAGCAGACCTTGGGATAGGAAATGTGTAAGTGTAGTTTTTAATACCTGATTTAAACTACATCTAATCTTTAATGGATATGGTAGAAGGACATACCTAGTTATCTCAAATCCCCCATGGAATTCTGCTGACTTAGTCAACAAATTACCAGAAAAGCTGTATCATATTAAGCACCGGACAGACAAACAGAAGCACAATACTTGAACCTATTATTTCTTCTACTTAAGACCTTACCTGTTATTTATTCTCAGGTTGGGGCAGAGAATCCTGGGAATGCTGACATTATAATTTTAATAAATCCTGACTTTTTCATTTAGATTGCTATCTTAAAGCCTAAATTTAATTTTAAATCCTTCTAGCAAATTCAGATATGACAGGCCATTGTAAAGTAATTGAAATACTTGTACTTCCCTTTGATGATAATTATCTTCTACCTCATTTGGAAGTTAACTCTCAGATGCAGCTCAAATTAGCCAGTGTTCATCACTATGAGTATCTGGAATAGTCACCGTAAAAGGGAATAGATTTCTATGGGCTAGCAGTTTCAGAGGTTTCCATCCACAGTCACTGGGCCCTGTTGTACTAGCCGTGGCAGCACAGTATGTATATTATAGCAGGAACAGCATGCTGAGAAGGCCTCTTCACCTGGCAGCCAGAAAGCAAAGACAGGAAGGTTAGAATCCTAGTATCTCCTGCAATAGCATGCCCACAGCAACCTAACTCCCTCTAACTAAATCCTGCCTCGTAAAGGCTCTACCATTTCCCATATGTACCAGGAGATAGCAACCAAGCTTTCAATACATATGCCCTTGGGGGACATTCAGAATCCAAAATATAGAAAGCTGTCAACCGGAAACTTGGCAGTGGAGTGCTTTCTCCATCAAACTGGCCCAATCACACCACGGGCAAATCTTACTTCCCTTTTATGTTTTCTTTGTGTTCCTTTCGACGTCACCAAGAGTGTTTGTTGTACTGAGCCTCTCACCAGCACCCACATGTCTGTATCCTTCCATCCTGCTGGATGAGTAGGCAGATCTGAACTTGCCTCCTTTCCTGAGACCTCCATCCTGAGCAGCTGAGTCATCCCTTTCACAAGACTCCACTTTGTTTATTCTCCCTACTCAAACGCTTCTCACACCCCTTTCTACTCTTATCTGAGAGCTGCCCTGTTCCTGCCTCCCCATGCTCTTTACCCATGTTCACTCTCTGGGAATACAGCAGTAGCTTTAGAAATGTCCATGCATGCTAATACCACAGGTGAAGGGTCCCCACAGTAAAATGTACACAAGCTTTTCTCTTCATTTCTTGTTAGCCCCTACAGGCTGAGACCTATGCATCACTTGGTAACAAGAGGCTGTGTGGAAGGCTGGATTAAGCTGAAATTCCACTGTCTAAAGTCCTAGAAAGCTGAAGAGAGAAAGTTTGCACTGCAGAAAGAAAACTTCCATCTCCTCTTTTGTTCAAGTCTACTGCAGTCCTTCACAATGATGTCTGTCCATCAGCAGCTCTTATGCATTGAATGGATTGTCAGGAAGTTTACTAGGAGCAAACCTTCTGAGTTCCTAATACCCTGTCCTTTTCTTTCCAGGTGCTTGGGAGTTCTGGCAAAACATACACATGTCTGGCTTCCTGTCATTACTGCTCATGCCCTGCGTTTGCCTTCTCAGTGTTACGGAAGAGTGACAGTCTGCTGGTAAGAATGGGCTCTTGCCACTGCACACAAGTTAGGAGAAAAAAGGCCAGCCTCATATTAGACTTCAAGTGCCACATACATTTTTGGAGTGGAGGGCTTACACAGAATTGGTATTTCCCTGAATGATGAAGAAATTACGGTTTACTGTTCTTTTCTTAGTCACCTCTTAAATTTAATCTCCAAAAATGCAATGTCATTTTCGGTACTTCACCAGTTTCCTGGGTTTTTTTTGGGGGGGGTGTTTTGTTTTTGTTTTTTTAGAGGTTGTGGGGACAGAATGGTAATCTTGGAAATGAGTACTGGGGAAGTAGATGGCCCAGTAAAGAGAGAACTAAATAAAAGATGCTCATACATCATCCCACTGCTTGTAAAGGTGGCTTGGCCTCATATCCACCCTCATATGGACCAGGAACACTTCAATCTATAACTCAAAGTCTTTGTGAGTTCATCAGAGTCCAGACCATCAAGTAAGGCAGCACATTTTTGCACACTGCTTGCTAAGGAAATGCCCACCCTCTTCTCCTAAGAGAAGGTAGTTAGTCCTTAGTCTTGCCAAAGCAGAGGAGAATAAAATCTACCTCATTCCTTTCCTCTTTTTATTTTTTATTTATCTGTTTATTTTGGTTTTTTGAGACTTTGAGACTCTGTGGCTTTGAAGTCTGTCCTGGAACTAGCTCTGTAGATCAGGCTAGATTCACAGAGATCTGCCTGCCTCTGCCTCCCTAGTGCGGGGATTAAAGGTGTGCACCACCAATGCCCAGCCCTTTTTTTTTTTTTTTTTTATTTCTTTAAAGACTTTAATGATTATTTATTTTAATTTTGTTTGAATTGGTGTTTTGCCTGCATGTATGTTTGTGTCAAGAGTATCAGATCTTGGGAGTTATAGACAGTTGTAAGCTGCCATGTGAGTGTTTGGAATTGAACCCTGATCCTCTGGAAGAACAGTCAGTACTTTTAATCACTAAGGCATCTCTCAAGCCTCCCTCTCCCCTTTTGTATACTATTAGCAACATCTTTAGAGTTTGGTTTCAAACTGAGCATCTCTATACACTCTATACACACCCCACTAGCCATTAGTGTGGTATATTTCATCTATAAAAATGAAAAGATTGAACCATGGTCCTGTCGGAATTCAAAGCTGTGTTTTGTGACATAGGTCTAAAAGTAATCTCCCCACATCTATGTATATGTGAGAATTTCCCCACCCCAGAAGAAAGCAATGGTTAAAATAGAGTAGAGGCTCTGCATGCTTATTATAATGAAGTTTGAACCTACTGGGTAGCTATTAGATTTGCATGAGCTCACTTGTGAGGAGCCCTGAGCAGTATAGTGTCTCAAGGACTGTCAACCATTGCTGTGGCCACACTCTGAAGGTGAGGCTCAAACCAACTGAAGCATGGCAAAGTGTCGCTCTCCTTCCATGTCACAGTGAGAGGTCTTGATTGGACTGGCCAAACATGATTTTGCTTGTTCCTAACAGGTTTGTGTTTTGTATTCCAGTGTAAGCATCTCCTGGCAATTTATCTTAGTCAGGTCATGAGAAACTGCCAGCAACTCAGTGTGTCAGACAAGCAACTGACAGACCTATTATTGATGGAGAAGACACAAGAAGCATAAAAGGTGCAGGTGGGACAGCTGTCAAGACAGAAGCCTACCAGGAAATATGTTCAACATTTCATGGATCACAAGGTGGAGGGATAAGATACACTTCCGGACTTAGGACTGTCACTTTGTCCTCATAGGCTGCAGAGAGGGCTTTGGGTTGGCACTGTACGCTGCCATCCTACAGTGTGGTGAAGAGCTTCATATGGTCTTGACATGAACCAGCCTCTGAGTTCCATGGGTAGAAACATCCCTGGGTACAATTCAGTGACTCAAATAAAGCCTAATACCATGTGTCTGCAACTAGATCAGATTACTAAAGTGCTAGTAACTCTGTTAAGGTGGGATGATAGACCAAACTGAGTAAGAGCAAGTTTAAATGAGAAAATTATTCCTTAGTAAAGGACAAGAGCAGACATGTAGCTAAGTGGCAGTAAGTATGAGAAGATGAGGGGTCTTCTGCTAAGCTCATCTGTGTGCTGCTGTCAGGCAGCTGACAGAGTTGCACTGGGAGAAATGGTGTGGAGAATAGGGAGAGCTGGGTCTGCTCTGTGAGCATTTCTAGGCTTTTATAGCAGGATAAAGACATACTAAAGCCCTGGAAGGGAACTAGGAATTTCACATGAGAAAAAAAAGACAAACTAGGTACCAGGAGTGGTGTTGGAGAGAAGAGACAGGATAGACCCAGAGAGAGCAAAGAAACAAGAAAATAACTATGAAGAGATGAGACACTCAGAACAAAGGACCAATGAGAAAATAACTATGAAGAGGAACCAGTCTAGGAAAAGGATGTAAGAGGTAAAGCCATGACAGCTAGATGACCCTAGCTCCCATCCTTTTAGGAACTGAAACAGGTGACTTCATAGCCTAGGGTTGCCCCTGCCACATTGTTGTGCCCCAAAACACAAACAGTTATTCAACAGCTGCTGTATATAAAAAAAAAAAAAATACATATTGCAGTTCTCTGGTTGGCTGAGCATTATGTTGAGTTGCAACAAAGAAAAAACTCAAGATTTTGCTAGTTGAGACACTTGGACTTGGTATGAGCTTCTCCTTTAAACGGCCTGTAGGGTTAGTTAGGTACAAGCAGCGCATTAAGTACAGCAAGCCAGTGGAGCACTATGAACGTGCTTTTTACAAAGGGTTATTTCACTGAATACAATACACGATTAGGTATTTTTGTGTAGTAAAATTTTCACACTGTGGGGGTCCAATAAATTTCAACTTTGGAGAGAAGCAAACCCAGCACTGGGTGTAGAAGCACGGTTCTAGTTGAGGAAGGACTGGAACCATTTATCCAGTTTTTACCTCTAGTATTTTGTGTACACGGAAAATATTGAACTTAAATTGTTTTTGTAATTATAATTCTACTTCCAAACTTAGGAGAATATCTTTCCCTAAATTAACACAACAGTATCTTGATTGAAGAATTATACATTAGTTTTTTTGTGTTGCTGTCCTGGGAATAAGTATACATTAGTATAGCCAATTTTTATTTTTCCATTGCTGTAAGTGAAAAATACTTTTATTGTAATAGTTCACAGTGTTTCACAGTAAGGTAAGTTTCAGTCACTTTCTACCACAAATGAGGCAGATTCTTAAAAATAAAACTGTCTTTGGGAATCGATTCAAGCCATTGTTATCCACAAAGTAGAACATCTGAATAAATTCATAAATGTATTGGTTAACCTTGGAGCCTACCGATTGCATATGCATATTAGGTAGACTTGCGTAACTCCAGGTAAGTATTCAGAAGAGGCAGCTCTTATGCTTGGGAGGTGTAGCTGTCTTTCAGGTGAAAATCAGCCAGTTGTGTCGAGCCCATTGTTTATTTTAAGCCTTCTTCTACAAAAGGCCAGAGCCTGGGTCATAAGCCCAGACTGAGAGCAGACTGGGCTCCGGCCTGCCCACTCCCACCTTTGGCATCTGTCTGGCAGAGAACGTAACTGGAGATGATTCTGTGGAAAGTATAGCGGAAGTCTCGGTTCCTATAGGCATATACAATAGGGTTGACAACTGAATTGGCATGTGACAGGAGGATGGCAACATTCATTATCCACTTGGGCTTTTTCTTGGCCAGAGCTGGATGGAAAAGGGTAATGCAGTTGATGGCATGTACTGGTAGCCAGCAGAGAGCAAAAATGCCTACAATCATAGCCAATGACTTGGCTGCATGAATCTCTCGCTGCAGAATGGTCCTTGAGTGGTCCATCAGCTCCATGCGCTGAAGTTGGTCACAGGCCACCATGAAGATTTTGATGTAGATCACCAACATTATGAGCAGAGGAGGAAGGACACACCCAAAGAAATTGAAATATACCATGTAGCTCATGGGAACCACATTCTCAAAGAGACACTTCACAGGACAGCAGCTTGTATTCCTGATTCCATCCCCAGGTTCTGTGCAGTTGCTGGTGGCACTGTCTTTACTATTCCATCCCAGGAATGGAGTCAATCCAATGCCAAAGGCAAGAACCCAGAGGGCAGTAATGATCCCTCTTGCTCGAGTCCCAGTGACCAAACTTTTATACCTGTTCAAGAGAATATCATGTTATTGGTCATGTTACAGTATTCCTTAACCAGAGCCTAAAGTCCCACCCTGCTGGTGTACCATGCCCTTTAGCTCTCTTCCAGTCCTGAAGCTTCACCCTCTGGGCACCATGGCCATTCCTTAATACAGAGATACAGGAGCAGGTGTCAGAAGCTTTGTGTAGCAAGCTCAGTAAGACTGTCACTCTTAGCCAGGCATGGTAGCAGCACATGCCTTTTATCCCAGCACTTATGAGGCAGAAGCAGATCTCTGAATTTAAGGCCAGCTTGGTCTACATAGCAAGTTCTAAGATGGCCAGAGCTACACAGAGAAACCCTGTCTTGAAAAACAACAAAACCCCCCTCATTTTTGATTCAGTACTTATTTCTATTTGGTAATAGGCAGCCAGTGACAAAGGTATAGATGTCTTAGAAGCCCTTTTTAATCGCTTCGGTGCTGGGTAAGCTTAGGTCTTCTGTAAGGTGCTGTTGAAATACACCAGTGAACAGAACATGTACATGCTCTAATGTTAAAGGACTGGCATTGTAAGGGAGACGTAACTCAATAGTGAGGAGACAGGCATATGAAACCTGCCTCACAAGGTGACACTTGAACAAGGGCCCAAGGGGGCCCCTGGACTCAGGTGGCTTTTGATGGATAACTTCTCTCAACCCCAGAAGTTTGCTTTAGAACTGGTTGTGATGGGTGCATACCTGTGGTCCTCCAATCAGGAGACTGAGGCTACAAAGCAAAATCTAATCTCACAAAAAGAAAACAGCCTTCTTCAGACTCTGGGCAGGGGCACTGCTGACTGCTAGAACAGAAGCTCTGTTAATGCCTCATCTACAAAAGCCACTGGCAGGAGAGCTGCTGAAGCCTGGGAAATCAACATTAATAACAGGTCCTTAGTTTGTTACATTTATGTTCCCTCAACTAGAATGACAATCACCTAAGGCCAGAGCCTATCTTGTTGAATTGGTCCAGGACCCAGATCACTCACTCTGGAACCACAACCTAGCATGGTGCCCAGTATATAGTCCTTTTTGGTTTTGTTCTGTTTTGGTGTGGTTTTGGCTGGCCTCAAATTCAGAAATTCACTTGTCTCTGCCTCTCTGCTGGGATTAAAGGTGTGCACCACCACAACCCAGCTACAGTTCGTTCTTAAAGCACAGCCATTATGAAAACATTCCTCATTTGCTACCTGTTATAAGTAGCTTTGCAGCAACTATATACTAGGAATACTTGATGCTGTGGACTGGGCAGGTAGGACAACCAGTATAGTCTGCAGAGGAAACCAACTGAAACTTGCTTCCTACATAATGATCATTCATCTTTGGTGCTTCCTCTCAGCAGTGGGCAGCTCAGCGGCAGGGCCTTTACCTCAGGGTGACCTGCTGAACTCAGCTGCTCGCTGCATTTTTCTTGGCCAGTGATGAAACCTTCCTAAAAATGTTTTTCCTTGCCAATGCCTCACCAGGGATGTCAAGAGCACACTTAGTCTCTGCAGGGTAAGAATGCCTCCGTAGAGGCAGGCACTCGGAATCCTGTTCTTGATGCAGCCTGCACTACAGCTCTGCCCTTGACTCGGCTGTATTCATTTGGTTCAGCTGAAACAGCAAATCCTAGCACTTCCATTCTCTGGTCAGTGATGGGCAAGGTACAAACAAGTACAGGAGGACATCATGGAAGACCTCTCAGTGGAAGCTTACAGATGAGAGGAAGGAGAACCCTGAACAGGGAGACAATTTCAAGGGAACAGCACTTGTGTGGGCGTGCAGATAGTGCCAGCTTACAGGCTAGGGGCCGTGGGAGACTTGCAAGCCAGGGAGTGGTACTGTCGATGTTGTATAAGTCACCTGGCCACAGGAACTGGGTTTTAGGGTACAAGAGGAGACAGAGATAACAGCTAGGAAATTTTCAAAATTCAAGAAGATGCTCTCTGAGACCAGGATTTCAGCCCAGATGATGCAAGGAATACTGGAAAAAGAACCAACAGGCCTTGAAGATGGATAAGATGGCAGATGGTGAAGAATCAAGGATGATACATGGTCTTCAGTGGGTTTTCCCCAGTATCCTAACACTCACTGAAATGAATGATTAAGGGCTAGAAGTGCAGAGATTAAAAGTCATGGGAAGAGTAGATGTCAGTAACTGATGATGGTGATTTATAGAGATGATGCAGAAAGAACAGGGTGTAGGGTGTGGTGGCATGCCTACTTGGAAGGTAGGGGGCAGGAGGATCAGGAGTTTGAGGCTAATATAAGCTATATGAGGCTATCCCCAGCTCCCCTCCTACCCAGAAAGAGAACAGGTCATCAAAGAAGACTGAGGAGCCAAAAGGATGCAGAGCTGTATGAGAGGATGCTGCCTGAGTCATGGCAGAAGAAAGGGTAAAAAGGCTGGTTTAAGAACAAAGGCTGGGTGGTAGTAACATGGACTACATCTTCTTGAGAACTGTCACTTCACAACGCTGAGGAAGGAAGAGAACATAGAGGACTTGTCACCTCAGGGAGAGCTTGACAGGAAAAGTGAAACAGCTTGGGATCTTGATGGTGATGCTTTGTATTTGACAAGGTTCAGGCTGGGACCATGGAAGTGGGAGCTGAGTAGGGAGGGGAACAAAGGGACAGGTGAGCACTTAATTTGGGTGAGGGGTAATCAAGTGTCTATGGACGAGGACAGAGTAGAACAAACAACAAAGATCCACGGAGCATGACAGATATCAAATTTGAGAGAACAGCCCCCCATACTCCTCTCTCCAAACAAATTCCAGGAGCACAGCACGCGAGCCCTTTCTCTGGGCACACTATACTCTGAAACTCACACATCCCACCAACCAAGTCTCATGGGAAAGGGGCTGCTAGCCCAGGCTATGAAAAACAAGGCTCAGAGCTTAAATGGTTTGCCTACTACCACTAAATCATAGCAACCCAAAGCCCAACTCATTGATGGCCAACGCTGCCCAAAGTGGTTATTTTCACGAATCCCAGTGCCCCCTTTTCTGTCGCCCAGCCATGCATCAGATGCTTTGGTTTCTTTCCCCAGGCATAAGAGCTGCTTGCCAAGGTCCTGGAGCATCTGTTCTGTAAGTAGCACACAGGATCAGGATGATCAGGACTTGAAGGGCCTCTACCACTCGAGGTAGTGATTTTCAACCTGTGGGTCATGACTTCTAGGGTTGAATGACCCTTTCACAGAGGTCACCTAAGTTCATTGGAAAACACAGATACAATCCATAACTAGCAAAATTACTGTTATGAAGTAGCAATGAAAATAACTTTAAGGTTAGGGGTCACAACATGAGGAACTGTATTAAAGTTATCACAGCATTAGGAAGGTTGAGAACCACTGCTCTAGGGAAAGAGCTGCAGGCTCTTCACTTAGAGGGCACAACCAGCCCCATGACAGGAAACCTCAGCCTTCACAGACAGGCACCTGGACCTAAGTGCAGGAAAGAGAAAGGCAGGTGTCCCTGTGCTGGATGTACACTGGAAGGACTGACCCCTGGGGACCCTAACACCTGAAGGTTCTGGTCCCCTCTGCTTGTGTTCCATTCTCTCCCTAGCCCCCATTATTTGCAACAGGATCTACACCTGGCTCCCTGTGCACCAAGGGTTCTCAGAACATCCTCAAGTACGTGTTTATGACCATGTTCACCAAAGTATTCCTGAAAGATCACATCCTTCCACTCCCTAGTCCTGTGCCAATCGGTGTTCTGCCATGGAGGGCACCAAACACAGCAGTGGGACCAGGATGCCTAACCCCAAGAATATGGCAAACAAGGGACAGGCAGTGAGGAGTAAATGCAGGCAGCCTCATTCCAATCAAGGCAGGAACAAGTCCAGCCCATGTAGTCCGCGTTACAGGGTTGTTCCGGGGAAAGCACAGGCGATGGCAAATGGTTGTAACTCTCTGCTGTGTGCAGAGCTGTGTCCAGATCCTCCTCATAAAGCTCATTAGCTAAGGGGATTGGTAGAAACAGCCACACAGAAGAATCAACAATAGAGCAATGTGAGTGCTGGTGACATAATGAAGGGCTGGGGGACTGGCCAAGGGCCGCAGAACAAATGCTGGCCTACTGGGACTGGGTGCTGCTGCTCAAACTAGGTCACCTTCCCAGCTCTCAGGATGTTTCCAGTTCACAGCCCCTGGCTGACATAGCCCAGCCAGTGCATCCCGAGCTGGCCTCCCAGCCACAGCTGTGACTTACAACACAGATTTACATAGCACTTTACATGGCTGGGGAGCTAGGATGGGACTCAGCAGACACCACAAATGGGGCCCCATGGTCCATCCCGAGCCCTGAGACAGAGAATTTCCTAAATGCACATGGCTAAGTGAATACACAAGGCCTACCGGTACTTCCAAGCTTTGAGGGCTATCTCCCTTCATATTTAGTCTTTCCCACAGGTTCCACTCCTCAATAATTTCTGCTGTAAGACAGTATATATCTCTTTGTTTGTTTTCTGAGACAGACTTTTGATCTGTCCAGGCTGTCCTGGAACTCAATATGTAGCCTGGGTCAGCCTCAAACCTAGGGTAACTATTTCTTTTGCTTCTTCAACCTCCTGGATGCTAGAAATGAGATGTGAGCCACCAAGCTTGCTGCTAAGTACATACAAACTTAGAAAACTTCATGTTCTCTAACTCTACACAAACACAAAAACAGGACATAGGTGAAAAATGGGTTAGGACATTCCATTCATACCACAATTTTGTAGCTAGAGTACTCGCAAAATGATTAGGGTCAACTGTGCAGGCAGTCCAGCAGGGCTAGTAGCTGCCAGAATGCAGAATGCAGAATGGGGGTCCTGGCTAAACGTTGATCAGAGAGAGACCAATATGGTACAGATGGGAGAGGAGTGCCAAATCAGGATGCTGGAACTGTGCTGGGTATGGAAGCAGGCTGGGGTGTGCAAGCTGGGGTGCAGCTTTCCAAAGAAGGGGTGTCAAGCACAAGCAGTTTCTATCCCCTTCATTCCTGGAAGCCCTCTGGGCCTC